TGGGTTGCGCGGCCGCGGCGCTGATCCCCGCGGCTGACGTGAAGGTGGAGGTGCTGCAGAAGCCGTTCCTCTGCCACAGGAGGACCAAGTGGGGGGACATGATGCTGGTTCACTACGAGGGCTACTTGGAGCGGGATGGCTCCATGTTTCACTCCACGTGAGTAGCGCGCTGCGGGCGGCTGGCCTTGGCGCGGGCTGGCGGGTGAGCCTGCGCGGGAGAACAGCACCTCGACTGTACCACGTAGGTATCTGTGTATGTGCGATAGCGTAGGTGATCTCTGCTGGCAGCGTTCTGCATCCGGACCCCGCACAGCGGCCCGCAATCCATCTGCATAACAGCTCTCTAAGGAGCGTTTCGTTCAGGACGGGTGCTTTTTTAATTTTATTTTTACAATGACGCCTCCCTCCCAAAACTCCTGTCCACCTCTGTGCAGGAAAGCAAAAGCAATGGATGCACGTTCGTATTATGCCGTAGGTTTTATTTTTTATTGAGCACAAATAGCTTAAATAACGCTGCACAAACTTGCCTGTGGGACCTTTTCCACCGCCACCTATTTTCAGAAAGTTTGGGTTGTCTTTACACTTCGACAGTTTAGGAAGCACCGACTCACACTGCTGTTCAAGAGAAACACCAGCAGTAAAGCTCACCTGCCTTCCACTTGTCAGATCGAGGCTATAAAATTAAATAGCTTTTGTTTTCTGGTTAGTCTGTAGAAAGCAGAGCCACAGAGCATTTGGGAAAAGATGGGGATGTTAGGCATCCTCTTGTGCAATTTCGACACAGGTTGTTGTGTATGATCTCAGTGGTTTAATAAGTCTTCTGCTATGCACGAATTTCTGTCTGGCTTCTAAAGCGAACTTCTAGGGGAGAAGTCTGCCCCTAATGCAAAAAGAGAAAAAGTTGTGCATCTCCTTCCACTACTAGCAGCACAACGACAGCTTTTCATTACTGAAAGGGCATATTCTTCACCTGCCCCCGACCAGACAAATCAACATACCAGAGCCACAGTAATGCAAGAAGAAGGAAGAGCCAGAAATCCGAGGTAGTCTAAGAGCCTGCAACGACTTGCTAATGTTGCCTTTCCTGTAAAATATCAACGAAGTGTTAACAGGGGGAGACAGGAGAATGCTCAAGTATCTGTAGGCTGTATCTGAAATCTGCTTTTGTAGAACACATTAAAAAAAAACCCAAACAATTATTTATGCTCTGTTTATGCATGTTTATGCTCTTGCAGACGATTTCAACTAAAATCTCACTAATTTTCTCTTGTAGTTAACCTGCCTCTCTAGAAGGAGTTCTAGTGACACTAAAGTTTTTGGTGCTGACTAACTCCTCCTGTAAGTGCTCTGTTTTCTTATTAAGCACTTTCCCTGCATGACTAGTAAAGCAAGCTTTTAAAATTCTGTCTGTCAGTAGAGTGAACCCAGTCCTGGTGTACCACCTGGTTAAATTGGGAAAGGGGCCTATCTGCCTATTTTAAACTTGAATGTTTTGCATGCATTTGATTCTGTTTTTTTTAGACTGTCTGTTGTCTAGTTTTGTTTTCCTACAGCTTTTTTTTTTGGAGGAGATGTGGCTGATTCTTCTAAGCATGTTACAAGGTATATTGTAGTCATGACCAAGCTGGGTTTTGATTTGCAATTTACCAAAGAATATGCATGGCTTTGAATGTAGATTTTTAAGTAGAAATGCCTTTCTAGTCTGATCAGTTTTAAAGTGGAATTAGATGATCAGGGGAGTGAAGGTGGGGATCCAGGTTGCTCAGTGTTGTCATAAAACAACTTCTATATGGCATGTTTCTTTCCACTTTTTAAGGAACCTTGTCATGCAAGGTGTAAGTTTTAAAGACTTTAAAAGTCTAGGTCTTTCATTTAAGAAATGCCAAGGTGCCAGATAGTGGTGTGTTTGTAATTATACATCTATGCTGGGAGCATCTTCCATCTTTTCTGTGTGCCTTTTATGGAACTTGCTGTCTAAAGACTTGTGTTTTATTCCGTTCTTTTTCTAGTCACAAGCATAACAATGGTCAACCTATGTGGTTTACACTTGGCATAAGGGAAGCTATCAAAGGCTGGGACAAAGGTCTGAAGGACATGTGTGTGGGAGAGAAGCGGAAACTAACTATTCCACCAGCCCTTGCTTATGGAAAAGAAGGGAAAGGTAAAGCACCTGAAGTCCTTCCCTTTAACTGTTTTTAATCTCTATATTTTACTGTTCTTCTTGGCCTAAGAGGTTAGCAAGCTTTCAAGCTTTCCACGCTGATTCCATTAAATAAGAACAATTGATGGAGTCAGATGCTGTTTCTCACAAAGTGGGTTTTTTTGCAGAAATAACCTTTAAGTGGTTACATGGTGAGTGCAGGGAAAAAATAGGAATTTATGGTAGCTGCTGTGCTGTATGCTCTGAGTGTCTTTTCTGTTAGTGCTGTGCTTTTTTTTTTTTCCTTTTTTACAGTCAAGCTGGAAGTGGTTGCTTAGGTAACAGTTGGCTTTTTGGCTGTTGCATCTGTGTCTGTGGTTATACTTCGTGAATGTGCATGTGAAAGCCTCGTTCTTGTTTGCAGATCTCGTTTAAAACCCAAAGAAACACCATGTATTGCTGCCCAAGCAGTTCTTAGCTGATACAGTGACAAATCACCGTTTATTTCTCCATACAGGGACACTTAATTCTTTCCCTCTTTTACCTGTTTTCAGTTTAGGCAGTGGTCCCTGTTGCCCACAGTGAGATATGCCAGTGCATGGGCAGTCATGTGGGCATCGACTGGAAACGTATCGAATGATGTATAGGCAGATAAAAGCATTGCTTGTCATGTTTTTTCAGCCTACTGCTGATGGTGTTTGGCAGTTTTCCTTTCAGACATTTCCAGATTCCTATTTTAATGGGAGGGGCTGATCTGCAATTTGCAGCTAAATAAGTGATAACTTGAAATATGCAGGAAGGTTGCTTTTTCTGCTTTATCGGGTTTTATTTAACTTTTTTGAGCAATTATTAGAGTATTTTTGTCACAAAACCAGTTATCACATATGACTTAAGGTAATGCAAGATTTCAAAGCAGAAAGAGTAAATGTCTTGGAATCACTAACCCTTCCGGCTACTGTCCTCTCCCATCTGAGAGTGTTTTAGGAATAGGGATTGTTTGCATGTCTCTATCTTATGTCAAGTAGGGCTGAACATAGGCTAAATAGTACTCATACATACTGCACACTCCTATACCCTGCTTTCTTGAAAGTATCCTTGTAAAATAGCTTTTTCCAGAAGACATGTTTGGGGATTCAAGAGATGGTATTAGAAGTAATCATATTTCTAGTACAGAACAGGAAACTGTGGTGGTCAGTTATTTGACTGTATGCAGGGCACAACTGTAATTTTTTCACACAAAGATATTGAATGCTGCAGTGCTCATGTAGTCATCACAGGCCTAATTGCCTTGATTAATATGCAGAGCACTACAGTTGTTCTTCAAAGACTTGCAGGGCTCACCTCTGTGCAAGGTTGAACAAGTAAACACTGCTAGCTGCTGCAAAGAATTACTTAGTTTAGGAAAACTTTGAAGTATTTGAACATAATTATGTTGCTATTTTCAAATTATGCCCTTGAAGACAGAATTATTCCATATTTTTCGTGCTTTCCTCTGAATGCACATAATTTCATTAGCCTCCCACCTGGTGCCTTGCTTGCTGTCTGACTTGAAGGATGAGTCAGATGCTTCTCTCTGTAACACTCAGAAAAATTACCTGCATTCCAAACTCTAAGCAGACCGCTCTGCCCTGTATTTCCAGATGCTTCTGCACATTCATTCATCCCAAAAATGTACAAGTCCATTTGCTTTTGCAGCTCAGAGTGTATTTAACACCAAAACAGTAGGTGTGGATTAGGTTTTTTTCCTATCTTAAGGCACAAGAATTTTTTTGGGATGCTACCACCCAATATAGAAATATATTTGGTCCTATTCAACCTCTCTCTGTATAAGGAAAAAAGTGATGTGCTAGAAGGTCTTTGAGTAGCTTCAGCCATCAGCGTGAAGGCACATCATACCAATGCAAGATAAACTGAAATCAGCTTATCTGAATCAGTTTATTTTCAGTTAAACTGAAATCGGGGGAGGAGGGGATGGTTGTTGGGGCTGTTAGGAAATCATCAGTCCAGCTGTATCAAAAATGGAGCAACGCGAACACGTCTTTTGAGCAAGTTTATATACTTAGTTTCGGCTGCATGTTTGGAAATAGCTCCATGCTTTGTGCAGCAGCCTAGACAGCTATGGGATACTGACAGCATTGCTGCCCTTCTGTCTCTCTGCAAGAAGAGTTTTTCCAGTAGCAGAATAGCAGGTACAAGGTGTCAGTTGGCATTGGAGAGGAATTTGGAGACTGACAGGGTTACGGTGTATCAGCAGCTACCTTTTTGTTGCCCTGTCCATCAGTCTTGGCTGTATGTTGTGGTAATGGCCACCTGGCTAGCTGTACAGTCTCCTTCACTGGTTTCTGCTCACACTCTGGATCTGGCCATGAAAAAAACACTCAAGAACAGTGTTTCATAAACTTGTGATGATGATTCCTGAATATGAGTTCACATCAACACGTAGTGATCACTAATAAAACTAGTTGCATATGTGCTGTAAGGGCTGTGCAGGGTCCAGGCTACACTCTGAAACAGTTCTACTCGTCGCTGTTCTAGATACTCGTCGCTGTTCTAGATACTCGTCGCTGTTCTAGATACTCGTCGCTGTTCTAGATACTCGTTATTTGAAACTGCAGGATGCTTTGAAAGTGGTAGGATTACTGGAACATTGCTTTGACTCACATGGCAGTGAATATGTAGTTGTTCTTAACTTTTCTCCATGTTTTTGGCAGGAAAAATTCCACCTGAGAGCACACTGATTTTCAACATTGACCTTCTAGAAATTAGGAATGGACCAAGGTCTCATGAGTCATTCCAAGAGATGGATCTTAACGATGACTGGAAACTATCCAAGCAAGAGGTGAGTGGGTTGCCCTTCATGTGAGCAAACCTAGCAGGATGACATAGTGGAAGGGGAAAGATAAGCTTAACTTGATCTTGTTAGCGAACTACCTAAACACAAGTTAGATTTTAGCTACTACTATGCACAGGACAATGTTGCAAGCAGAATATGTGCTATTTAAGAGTCCTTAAGGCAATTATTTATTGGGCAATGCACAGTATGGGCAACTATGACTAAGGGGGTGTTAGCATAACCACTGAACTGATAGGCTCATCATGAATGGTAAGACACCCAAAAAGCTGTTGCTGGCCAGGTGGTCATTAGTCATGTGGGGAAAGGTGAGCATCTGTTCTTCCCTGGAGATGACTTTCAATGTTGCTGCCTTCCAATTCTCTGCTTTTTTAGACTTTGGAGTTCATGTGCCTTTTTTGTGTTTTGCTGAACGCTCTTGAACTGTACTATTCCTGGCTCAACAATTAAGCTCCCACCTGGGCTTTGCCTTTCTTGCATGACTTCAGCTCACACACTTTCTTACACCTTAAGAATAGATTTTTTTTTTTCAGTAACACTAAACCAAGGGTGCACATCTGTGCTGCACCACCCTGAGCCTTGGATCTGCTTGGACTGGGTGTTCAAAAGCGGCCTCAGTAAGCTGAGGCATAGGCCTGTGACCGATGTGTGCCCCACACTTACTGGATAAAGTAAAACATCTTAGAAATAAAACCAGACTTCAAGGCTTTTTGGAGTTAGTTGGTGACATAGTTCTGCTGTAGGGCAGTCCTGTTTCCTAGCAGTCACTGTCTGAAGGACACGTATTCAGCATTAACCACCTTCTATTTGCCTCTTTGTTTCAGTCTTCCTTTTTTCTGCTGTGCAAGTCATCCGTGAGAAGTTAGGATAAACAACTGCGTTCTTTTTTTATCTGAGGCTGGTACAGTTTGCTAGACACAAAAGACTAACCTTTCATACTGTGCATCAGACAGACAGTGTCTGTGTATTAGAAATGTAAGCGATGACCCTAACAAATACTGGAATATGAAATGAATAAAACAGACCTGGAACATGGCCCATTTATCTCGCTGTTAACAGTCCGCTGTTAGAGTTCTTGTTATACAAGTGGTAGCTGTTTAACAGGTGGGTATGTTGGTATTGATATTCTTGTAGAAGGCTCTGCAATTTAGAAGCATCTCAACAGTTAAACTCTGTAAAAATAATCACTGCTCACTATTAGTAACTCGCTCAGTGTAACTGTTCCAGTGTGTTTAAAAGCTACCTTGACTCTTAGTCCTTCAAAATTTTGAGATGTCTAGACATAAATGTCATTAATGTAGTTTGCCTTAAAGCAGCAAATGCTGAGATTGTGGACAGGTTCCTATATATATTTGGGGCAGTTGTTCACATCTACTGGTTTGTCAAAGTGCTAGGATGTGAAAAACCTGTTTGGGTCTCTGACCAATTGGTAGCTAATACCTTCTGTCTAGCTATTTATACCTCACTGTATAGGTGTCAGTTGACGGGTTTCCTGATTCATTTTTCAGTCAGATATCATAAAACTCTGGCAACTGGTCTGCTAGTTTTACTGTCTCTTACATTGGTAAAGTCTTTCATCACTGAACGGGGCTGAAGAATCAGTCAGATAAGTATTATTCTGGCAGTGGCATAGGAAGGAAGGTATATATTGTCTAATACTACCATCCTGAGCATAGTGGCTCTCCCTTATGCTACAAGAATCAATTCTTTCATAAGCCTAAAAACATTAACTCTCACCTTTTGTCTAATAGGTGAAAATTTACTTGAAGAAAGAATTTGAAAAGCATGGAGCAGTGGTAAATGACACCCAGCATGACGCTTTGGTTGAAGACATCTTTGATAAAGAAGATGAAGACAGTGATGGGTTTATATCTGCAAGGGAATTTACCTACAAGCATGATGAGCTGTAGAAAAGAGTGGCATAATTCTTTTGACACAAATGGCAGTGACTCAGACTGTCTGGTTCTCTTGTCATCTTAATTCTGTGTTTTGGGGTTGATAGCTGCTGTTGGCTAAGAAACACTCTTTGTTTATGTAAAAGAGAATTTCTGTTCATTACGTACAAATGTTTTAAAGTATTTTAAAGTACGAACATGTACCTCCTTTTATGCAGCAAAGACTCGCACATCAGTGTTTTTTAAATTTTTGTATTAACTTATTTTTCAGAAATGAAACTTTCCAGTTATCAGACATTGTGAAAATCTAAATCCAGTTCAGTGCCTTTCTGCAATGTTTGTGTGCTAAGATCACTTTCAGTGACTCCTTTATGTATAACTTCTAGTCTGTGGTTTAATTACTCGACCTTCTTTCTTGTGTGTCGCTGCTTAAAAAGCAGTTTGCTGATCTTGCCTTTTTTCTGCAGATTTTGAACAGATGTGCTAGAAGGCAGCAGCATCTCCCTATACAGTGAGAAACTGATAAAAAGCTGGATGGGAAGAATGACTATGCTGTGCTGATTTTGCTTTTCAAAAGGGAGAGTGTTACCAACCACACCAGTAACTGCATTTTTCTTTAAATTATGTGAACAAAGTAGGAGTTAAATGTCAGACTTTTAATTTCAGCAGCATTCTAGGAAATGTCTAACTTGAAAAAGAGCAAGTTATGCTGCAGTGCAGAGGTGATGCCTTTTACACACATGTTTATTTCGAAACTCAGGAGCTTGCATTCATGAAGAAAGATCATACCTATTTCCTCTCAAGTTTGAGGCAGATGTTAAGCAAAATGTTGCAAATCTGAATGAAGTTTTTCCCATTTGCAGAAGGGGAAGAACTTACTGACAGGAGCATCAGTATGACCTGAAGGAGTGTTTGCATTGGCCTGCCTGCTTTGCTACTCCCTGAGTTGCAGAACTTCTTTCATTGTTGTCCATTTGCAGTATTTTCACAAGTAGCACAAAAGTAATGTGAATTTTAAAATAATAAAGTTACTTTTTTAGAAAAATAGAGGCATGAGGTAAATGTTATGGTGCTGTGTCTTTATAGAGGTAGAGACCCTGAGGATCTCAACTCGTGTTTGTTGGAACCGTTTCTAGAGAAGAAACAGCAATTGTCTGTCAGCTCTTAAATACGAGGGCAAGATATCAGGGAAGGAATTAGCCTGTGTTCTGGCCTCACTGACATGGGGCTCTGAACACAGTATTTTAATTGAAAAACGTTGCTCAAGAACAAAGCAAATCCAGTTGTAAGAAAGTGAGATTGCTGCATTGTACTGACCAGCTGCCAAGTGAGACTCTTACTTAGGGTTCGCAGTGGTGAACTAGATGCTTTCCCTGCCACCTAGTGTTGCGAGTAGGTATTAGAAGGCTACTTGACTAAACAGTTCAGATACATATGGACATTACAAATTGCTGTGAATAGCAACTGGCTTTTTTGGGGGGAAAAAAGTGTAAGTGAAGGTACACAGGACTGGATTTTTTTGGGGGTGTGGGGATTTCTTCCCTTTCTTCCAGTATCTGGCACTTTGTGGCCACCTATTTTGTTTCCAGTAAAATTTGTCTTTTTCTTCAATTATGTCATCTAGTTTTCTTCAACCCATTTATACAGTAGCTTCCATACTGTTCTATGGCTGTGAGTTTTCACAGCAGAATAGTGTAGGAAAATACCTCCCTTTGTTTTTAGGCTTGTTGCCTGTCCTGATTCTTGCATTGTGATGAAATAATGAATAATCATTACGTATTTAGCTCTTCTTACCAGTCATGATTTTGCATATTAATAATTAGTTAAGAAGTTGACTCTTAAGACAGTCTTGCCTAGGGAAATGGCAGGTACCCAACCAACCGAAGGGGAAATAGGATGCATGCAGCTGGGAAGAGCAGAACTGAGACTTGCATTGGGTCTGTCAGGGTTTTAGATAATTGTTTGCAGTCTTTAGCCTGTTC